AGTCCTGGAACCCCACTGAGGGTTCCCTCCCTGGCTGCTCTGATAAACCTCAGAGCCCAACAGAGCAGAACCAAGCAATAAATACACACTTCATGCAAGGACAGGTAAGACGGATGATTTAATTATCACACACTCACTTGGAGAACATTTTGTTACTGGCCCTTCACTATAACGACTTCCTTCCATGTTCCTATCCATCTGATTGGGTAAATCTGAAACTGCTATTGTGGAAAGAAGCTGTAAACATCACTGAATGCCACCAAGCACTCAAGGCTCACAAAGTTTTCTGGACCCATGCATTAAGTCACTGCTGAGAATGACTAAAACTTTCTTTAAGAAGGAGAACTAAAGATTGCAGTCGTACTGTTTTCAGTTTCAGAAAATATGCCTCATTTAGGAGACGACTTAGCACTTAACGATTGAACTTAAAAAGAGAGGCATACTTCTGGTTTGCTAGGAAGACCAAGGAAAGCCTAGAAATGGCCTTTAAAAGGCCATGGCTTGGAGCCACTAAAAAAAAGCATGAATCCCCTAATTGAAGTACTTGGCTTCAAATCCCAGTGCTCCACTCACAACTCACATGATGTTGAACAACCTCTCGGAGCTGAGCCTCGGTTTCCATGGCTGTGAAATGGGAGTATTGCTAGCTCCTGACTTAGAGAGCTGGGGAAAGACTAGGAGAGCATTCCTGTAGCATGCTGAGCCTAGCCTGAGGTAGAGTTGGTGTCCCTCCCTGTCGAGGTCAAACTGGCCAAACTGGTTGCTTTTCCACAGCCTCCCCATCAGCATCTTCCTCTGGTTTCTCCTGAGATGCCTCTGTTACCGCAGTGTCCTCCACAGGGCCCGACTATCCTGCTTATCCTATCAGATTCTGCCCAAATGGGCCTTGGATGTGCCTTCCTCATCTCTGACTCTCAGTCCTTGGCTACCTCTCCCAGAGGTGACAGTCCTGCCACTGTGTGAGAAGTCTTGGTTCCTGTAAAATGCCATGTCTGCCTCCAGGAGCAGATTCCCAGGCAGAACATTTGCCCTTCTGCTTCTGGACATGGACAGCCCTGCCACACCTCTGGATTCTGAGCCCATGGGACCTGCCCCTGTCCACACATTCAGCCAAGTGTGCCTGCTATCTCCTCTCTGCTTTTCCAGCATGGGGATCATCCACAGGGCCTGGCATATCTTGTTTGCATTCACAGGGAGCCCCAGATAGGCTAGGTAAAGAGAGGGCAGCTGTAACCAAGCATCAGCATGTCTCTCCAGAGACCTCTAGTTCTTGTGCTTGTGCTGTGGACTCTCCGGGGAAGAATGAGCTCAGCCTGGCTCACAAAGGAACCAGGAATGTCTCTGCTAAGCTCCTTAAGAATCTCCAGAGAAAGCCAGCCGAAAGTGAACAGTGATGTCTGGCGGGGCGCCCCCTTTTCCAGGAGCATGATGCTCTCTGCTCTCAGGAATGCGGCAGCAGAGGCAGCCTGGGCTGAGCTCCAGGAACTTTGGGGTCTAAGCTTGGCTCTCACAAGGCCCAGCTGTGTGGCCTTGAATGTGCCCCTCCCTCAGTCTGGACTTCAGTTTCATTAAGTTGTAAAACTGCATATTTTGAACTGGATATTCTCACACTCTAGGAATTGAAACTGGGCTCACTCCTTGTGAATATATTCTGAAATCTATCATATTATTTAAGAACCAGGACTCATATCTAGAATTTTTAGTCATCTCAGAAAGTCTTCTTCCCTGCAAGGGTAGACCTCATTTTGCACTTTAGGACATTAAGCCTGTTCACAGGTTTTGCCTTTGCTTACATAAAAAGCATACATGGACACTTAGATTTCCAATCTTAGCAGGTATATGTTAAAAGGTATTTGTAAACTTACCAGAGCAGACTTCAAGGAAGAGGAATCATAGCCATTTCAGTCTCTTCTGACTGAATTTGTGGATAAGCCGGGCACGAGTCAGCCCTGATCTCCTAATTCACAGGGTCATGAACTCTACCCAGTATTCTCTCAAAAAGCCATGACACTACATCTTGGAACTGATGTGGGCGATTGGGAGGAAATTATAGGAGCATTATACTCAATGGTTTCTTATTTATTTATTTCACTTGTTAACAACACAACACTTTCATTTGCTATAAAACCACAAGCAGACACCAATATTTTGATATTTTACAAATCATGGAATGAGTGAAAATTGAAGCATTTTAAGCTGAAAAGCACAAGGACTTGGTCATCTCATATTAAAAACCATCCATTTATTACAAACAACTCTCATTTATCAGTTCAAATGGAAATGGAGAACATTATGATAAGAAATTATATAATTTCATTATTTTTAATCCAAAATTAACTTCCCTGATTTTACACACCAACATATTACTTTACAAAAAGATAAGAATTGCTATCCAATGTAGGTTTTTTTTTCAGCTAAGTTTTAAAAAGACTTTACTTATTTATTTGAAAAGCAGAAGTACGGAGGGGCAGAGATAAACACAAAGAAAGAGAGGTCTTCTTTCCACTGGGTGATCCTTTAGATTAAAACAGCCAGGGTTGGGCCAGGCTGAAGCAAGGAACCTAGAATTCCCACTTCGGTTGTAGAAACCCAACCACTTGAGCCATCTTCTACTGCTTTCCCAGGCAAATTAGCAGCTAGCTGGATCAAAACCAAAGCACCCAAGAATCCAATCAGCTCTCCTTTGAGATATAGGTATCACAAAGAGCTGCTTAATTCACTACGCTACAACACTGGCCCTTGGGCTAATATTTGTATGAATTTTTATTCTCTGTGAGCATCCTGCCTAAACCATAGGGTCAGTTGGATAACAAATTGAAAGAAACAAATATGTCTTCAAATGTTATCTTCAAAGGAAATAAAGCAACTATAAAAAATATACTTGAATGTCATAAACAGAGTTGGCATACTTGAAGAAAGAAATGACACACAAGTATCCCTTTACCTAACAACTGTGCTGCTCTCCAATTGAATGGGAAGAAAAGGAAAAGATTCACTGTGCAGTTCTGTACACTCCGACAAATAAAAGCAGATGGAGAAACAACTGCCACATGGCCCAGACTCATGCTAACTGGGAACACACATGGGGAGATGGTTAATACTTCGTGGTCACAGAGTTAAGGTCTCATTCTGGAATTTCCAAAACCCTCTGCTGATCTCCAGTGTTCAGACACAGCCAGCATTTCAACTGTGCTTCTGCCACCAAATTGTAGAGCCTTGTCTATTGGAACATAATGCACATAGCGCTGCTAGGAAGAGAAAAAGAATGATTCACACAGAAACTAAAGCAAGGAGAAGGAGGAGAGATTTCAAGATACAGAAGCCAAAGGAGCAGGCATACACGCAGTTGTTAGTTCATTCTTTTGACTATCCGTGTGCTTAGAAGCATTTCTCCATGTACAATCTGCTTGACCCCTGACACTCGCTCCTTCAGTAGGATCATAGGTGTTACCCTTGTCCCCTCCAAGTAACTTTTTCTATGGTCACACAGATGACAAAACCAAGGCTGGACATTAGGTCTTCTTGTTCTTAAGTTCAAAATACAAAGGAGGCAGGTTGCAGACTGGAGTGGGCTTTTGGGAAGCCCTTGGGACCACTATAGCTCACAACTAGAGCCCTCCCTTCCCACTGGATATAGGAATCCTTCTTTCTTAGGTACATCTCCTGATTCAGGGTCACATGGGTTAACTGACACTAAACAGTGGAAACATGCTGTTTTGTCCCTTTTTTTTTTTTTTTGGTCTATAATATTGTTTTTAAGTGTCCCTTCCATTTAAAAACAGAAACATGCTTTACTGCAAAGGAATTGTGACTAGGAGAGGATTCAGCACCAATAATAAACACATCTTGCCTGCCCCTGGTCCCAGAGAGAGTACCTTATCAGGCTGGTTGGCTAGGAAGGAGCTCTGCCTTGCTCATGTTTGAGAGATGGTGGAAAGGTAAGCTATGGTCATCTCCGTGATTATAGTGCGACATCTACTGTCAAAGAATCCTTGCTTCCCAGGCTTGATGACATTATAAGGAAAGGCAGAATTTAAGAAAAGACTATCTGGTCTAAGTCAGAGTAACTGTGAGTGGGAAGTGTACCATCCTTTCAGCTAGAGAACCTGGGACCCTGACCTGAGCCCTACATGCTGCCAGAGGTGCTGTTTTCACTCTCCTGCACCTGCACCTCTCTTATTCTGGGGCAAAAAGTCCCAGGAAACAAGTGGGTATGCACACCTGCACCTTGGCTTTCCCATATACACTTGATTCAGATGCCCAGAACTCACCATTTATTTTTCAGTGGTGCCTATGGTCTGTTAAGTTTCTTTTCTAAGTCCACCCTCAAGGTTACAAGCCTCACCATGTATATGCCAACAAGTTGGTTTGAAGGGGGACAAAGTGTGGGGAGAGAGTTTGTGTAGAACTTGACCATGAATACTAAGGTGTAGACGGGCATGCATGCAAGTCTCCTCACAGTGATAGGCAGAACAGAGATGAGAAGAGAGGGGCAGCGCAAAGAGCCAGAAGTCTCTTGAATTATTCCAGCCTTGCAAGCTTTAGGCATGAACTCAGACCAAACAGCATCCCTGGTAACTGGCCTAATCAGAGTATGTCAAGTCACTGGGAGAGCCCAGAGAAGCCATCCTGCCACAAAAACATGCCTGGGGTCCCAAATGTCTACTCTGGTTCTCTTCTCTTTCAAACTATCTACATCCATTCATTTTCCATGCTTTAATCTACTTTAATCATGTTGCCAGCTAAATAGCAACAGCACATGTTGACTCTACCAGTGCCCACCCTTACTACCTATCAGACATTCAATGGGTGTTTGCCATGGTAGAATGTCTGGTCACCTCAAGGAGGGAAATCCAGCATTCTTTGGACACAGCATCCACATGGTTCCTCTGGCCTTCACAGCAAATCAAGAGTTCCTGGTTGAGGTTGTGTATCCAAGCACTCCTAGCCAGCACTCAAAGATCTTCCCTTCTGGTTAAACCTGGCCAGGGCCCAGGGAGTTATTTCAGTCTGATACAGTCAACCTCTTCAGTGGCAGGTATCCCCGTGGTCTTGAGGTCAAGCTCAGTGCTGGATTTGTTGCTGTTGTAAGAAGTCTTCCAGTGGAGCAGCAGTATCTTCTTGAAGTATTTGATGGTGCTATTCTTGACGCTCACGAAGCACAAGGTGTTGATCATGCTATTGCTCATGGCGATGCATTCGACAATGTAAAAGGCAGTGAGATAATGCTTCTCCCTCACGAACACAGTGGGGAAGAAGTCACGCACGATGGTGAAGCCGTAGAAGGGCGCCCAGCACATCACGTAAGCCATGAGGATGCCCATGAGCACCAACACCGACTTTCGGCGGCAGCGCAGCCGCTTGCGAATCTGCTCTGTCTGGAAGCCAGGGACTGCCTTGAACCACAGCTCTCGGGAGATTCTGGCATAGCACAGCGTCATGGTGAACACGGGGCCCAGGAACTCAAGGCCAAAGAGAAAGAGGAAGTAGGCTTTGTAGTAGAGCTGCTGGTCCACTGGCCAGATCTGGCCACAGAAGATCTTCTCCTGGCTCTTGACAATGAACAGGACAGTTTCAGTGGTGAAGTAGGCAGAAGGGATGGCGATGAGGAGGGACACAGCCCACACCAAGGCGATCAGGCCGGTGGCAGTCTGACACTTCATCCGTGGCCTCAGCGGGTGGACGATGGCCAGATACCTGGGGCAGGAACACAAAAGGCATTATCTTCCACAAAGTGGAAGAGGACTCCATTTCTACCCCGTAATAAGTAGCAGCTACATAGACCTGTGAAGGAAGACCTCAAGCAGGCTTCCACAAAAGGCAGACTTCAGCACAAGCCCTGGCTTCACCTCCAACTTGCCATGAACTTCAGGCAGATTTTGCTTCATCTCTCTGTGCCTCAGTTCTCCTACCTGTAAGAGGCTTTGCTTGTTTATTTTTAAGCTTATTGTTATTTGAAAGAGTTACAGAGTTACAGAGTTAAAGAGACAGACAGATCTTTCATCTGTTGGTTCACTCCTCAAATGGTCATAATGGTCAGCGCTAAGCTTTTCTGAAGCCAGGATCTTCTTCTAGGTCTCCCATGTTGGTGAAGGGGCCCATGGACTTGGGCCATGTTCTGCTGCTTTCCCAGGTCATAGTAGCAAGCTGGATGGGAAGTAGAGCAGCTGGGACACAAACCAGCACCCATATTGGATGCTAGCACCACAGGCAAAGGTTTAGCGTACTATACCACTACAATGGCCCCTGCTTGTTTAATTTAAAAGAGTCCATAGACCAGCTCTGGGGCACATCAGGATAAGCTGCCACCCGTAATGCCAACAGTCAACTGGCTACTCCACTTTTGATCCAGCTCCCTGGCAATGCTCCTTGGAAAGCAATGGAAGAAAACCTTAAGTGCCTGGGCCCCTGTATGCAATAGGAGAAAAAGCTCCAGGTACCTGGCTTTCACCTGGATCAGTGATGGTCATTATAGCCAATTGGAGAGCCAACCCACAGATTTCTCTCTTTCTCTCTTTCACTCTCTAACTCTGCCTTTCAAATAAATAAATCTTAAAGAAAAGACTCTGCATGACAATGTATGCATTATCTCTGACAGTTTTAAATTTCATATGCACTCAGAAAGGGGTGACAGTTACTATTAAATGTAGTAATAACATTTCTCATTGATTTTTTAGCCTGGCACTGTTCTCAAACCATTAATTCTTGTGACCTCAAAGTTCAGGGCTACGTGGACCTGATAATGCACAAATAGCAGGGAGAATTTGCTCTTTCCAGGGGAAGCAGCAGGAAAAATACTCAGGGTATGAAGGTGAAGGAAGGGCACACAGCCATTGATCTCATTTTCCAGATGGAACATAGATAGGGGTAAGAGATGACTAACTTTTCTCCAGTTCATATACCACAGAAAACATTGAACCATGCCTCACAGGGTTGAAGCAAAAATCAATTATGAATACATATGAATGTATTTTAAAAACACACACAAAGATTCAGACAGTAAAAGCTACTGCCTTTGTTCTTTCTCAAAGAACCTGTGCTGCCATCCCCACAGTGGTCTAGGGAGAGAGAACCCTCTTGGGGGAATGAGTCATGCATGTGCAGGACTGTGTCCCCGAGCGCGCACACACTTGTGTGGAGAGCTCTGACTTCCCAGAAGGCTTTCCATGTCTGGCAGAGGATGGGAGATTGAGATGCACAGAGATGGGAAGGGAAGTGGGAGGGAATGAGTAATTGCGACTGGAAATGAATACTTTCTGTTGTGTCCCCAGCTCGGTCCAGGTAAAGCCTTGTGCAAACAAATGGGACATGGCCCTTGGAGGGAGGCCAGCCCAGGGCTGTTTCCTTTGAGACCATGGCCTTGGCAGGCATCATTCTGGGAATCTGGCTTTGAAGAGGGGTTCGTTTTTATGTTTCTGATTGTGCTTCTGCAGCTTCTTTTTTTTTTAAAGATTTATTTTTCTAATTTTTTTATTGGAAAGGCAGATATACAGAGAGGAGAGACAGAGAGGAAGACCTTCCGTCCGATGATTCACTCCCCAAGTGAGCACAACGGCCGATACTGTGCCGATCCAAAGCCAGGAGCCTCTTCCAGGTCTCCCATGCGGGTGCAGGGTCCCAAAGCCTTGGGCCATCCTCAATTGCTTTCCCAGGCCACAGGCGGGGAGCTGGAAGGGAAGCGGGGCTGCCAGGATAGAACCGGCGTCCATATGGGATACCGGGCGTGCAAGGCGAGGACCTTAACCACTTGCGCCACCGCGCCGGGCCCTGCTTCTGCAACTTCTGTCCTTTTCTCACAGCATGGCCAGAAGTTGGATGCATTGAGCCCACACTCTAGCACTCCACACGCTGCCTCACATGGCTACCAGTGGCCTTGCTGGGCTCTCTAGTCAGCTCCTGTGTACACCATGACACGGAACTGTCAGCAGAGGTGACCAGTGCTGTTGTCACTGGAAAAGAGCAAAGAGGGTAGAAACTTCTAATGGCCCAAGTGTGTCAAATGTGCACTAACTCCCAAACCCAAGCCTTTAGACTCACGGCCTACACTGGCTCCTTTGCTGGTCACCACTCTGCCACGCTCTTCTGATTACTCTGTCACAGAATTTGTCTACTTTCATATTTACTCACTATAAAGATTTTTACTAGAGGCTGTCATTCTTGTCCTTCTCTTCCCTAATGGTTAAGTCTTTTGGATGTCTCAAAATCTGAGTCTGTTTTCCACACTAATTTTGGCCTCAGAAGATCAACACTTCATTATTTTATGATTTTCGGTCATCTCAATTTCCCCACCTGTAGAATGGGGATATCATGAGCTTCCAATGAGACACTGCTGTTTTACAGCAACTTTCCTTGGCCTGTTGTCATCAAATGCCACATTTGCAAGTCCTCCCCTACCTTCTGTTGTATTGAATCCAAGTCGTTATAACTGGTCCTCAGTGTCATTTCACCCAGGCTCTCTGTAACACCACCCCAACTGCATGACCATCAGAATCAGGGTCATGAGCTGCATGCAAGTCCTTGCTGATGTGGTTACTAAATCAGTTTCCAAGTAGTCTGTCAGCCTTGGTTGTGCTAAGATCAGAACTGATAAACTCCAATATCAGCAACAGTGGCTTATGTTTTAAAAAAAAAAAAAAAATGTTGACAATTCACAGGGCAGAGCAGTTTCAAGTCCACTTTTGCATTAGCTCATCCCAGCACCATGAAACAGACAAGAAAGTCAAAGAGTTCATTTCACAAGTAGGTAAATGAAGGCATGGAGAACTAAACGACCTGCAAAAGGCAACAAGGCCAGGATGCAGAACATGGGGCCACCCGCTTCACCATCCCTCTCCTCCTTTCCAGCAAGAGCAGGCAGTGTCCTTCCCTCCTGCCTCCCTGGCATCCTAGCAGTCCTTTCCCCCTTCTTCCTCTATCACAGTTGATTTCTAGCCATCGCTGTTCCAAGAAGGAGTCAGACAATTGGCAGCTACTCTTCTCTGCTTATGAGTATGTCCTTGGCCTGCCCTGGGCATCTAACACTACAGTGGCTCCCATCCAGATCCATCTTGAGCCAAAAGTTTCCAGAGAACAAGGAATAAAAGCTGCTGGACAAAGAAATGTCCAGGCAGTAATTGTGATGATGGCAGACTGGGTGATTCAGCGAAGAGCAATTGGGCTCCCTGTCTCCAGGACCTAGCCTGAGGTCTCATCATGGTATTAGTGGTCCCAGAAGCTGCTGGGCCAGTCATGGGACGGGCAGACCATGTCAGGACAGCCTGTATGACAGTGAGATCACCATTGGTGAGGAGGGGGTAGGAATAAAATGGGTATGCTTCCTTAGGCTGGGTGGGGTGACTGATGTCTTAGCAGGTGCATAATAGCTGGTTTGCTCAGTATTCTGGTAAGAGAAGGGAGGACACCAGTGCCCACATGTCATTGGTCCTACAGGGTACACCTCGAAGGCCACTTCAAAGCCCATTTCTGCCACAAAGTCTCTTTTGACTACTCCTATACAATGACCTCACTCCTCTCTAAATTCTATTTAAAATGTGTCCCTTGCATAGTTTTTGTTTCTCATCACATCTTGTTTCTTTTTACAACCACTATGAATTTTGGCTTCATAAAACTCCACCCCTTTCAAATGCCTGGCATTGGGTGAACAGAAGTCAAAAAAGCCGTGGAGACAGTTCTCCAAAAAGATTGCTCTCATTTATAAAGTGGGACAGAAATGTGTTTCTCTAACAGGAGATGGGGAGGCAGTCTGGGGCTGCATGACAAATGGCTGGAGGAACAGGTGAAGGAATTTGAGTAGTACTTGGTAGACAACTGGGTTATCAGTGGTCCTATAAGCAAGAGAGGAGAGCCAGGGACAAAACAAATCAGTCCAGCCACAGCCTTGCCTACTGCTCACGGGTCTTAGGGCTCCATCCCATCGTTCCCAGAACTTCTCAGGTTTGTCCCTGCCTTAGGACTTTGACTCTCAAAGTTTCCACTGACTGCAATGCTTTCTCCTAATCTTCACCAGACACACATCGGTCCCCAACGTTCAGAGGACAGCTCAGCTGCCTTTTCCTCAGGGATGCCGGCCTGATTCTTCACCCAGCGTGGATTTCATCCTTGAGTACCCTGGCAGTTTCTGAGTGTGCTTTGGTTTGTATTTTTTACTTGTGAAATTACCTTCCTTGATTATTCCACTGACTATTCCAGCCCTTGCATGTAATATCCATAAACCCAGGAGCTGGTTTTCTTATTCATTGCTACATCCCCAGTGCTGGCAAGATCTGTCACATTATAGTCCCTCAGTGTAAGCATATTGTTCCAATGAATGCTTACAAGCATGTATGAATGAATGAATGAAAGCTTAGGATGAATTGTGAGGGATGTTGGCTCAGCAGTCAGGCAGTACCAAGAAACTTGGAAGGCAGGGAGATCAAGGGGAGACTCTGAGCGCCCAGCCCTAAGCAAACAAAGGGAAGGGCAGGACCCTGAAATTGGCTGAAAACTGCAGAAGGTGACAAGAGAGAGAGCATCCAGCACAGATTTTCCAGGGAAAACAGTGAACCCGATCATAGAAACAGAGAGAGCTGAGCAGAAATGATAAATGGTTCTGTTATGCTACTTATTAGAAATCCTGTTTTTTAAAAATCATATCATAAAAGTAATCATTTCAAGGAAAATAGAATGGCCACAAAATGGGAAATACTTATGATTATATTTGGGGTTTTGTTTTCTCTTTCCATTGAGAGTTAGCTTAAGAGCTGCAATACTTACTATTTATTTAGTGAAATGTCCTAACCAATTAGAGATAATTTCATTAAATACTCAAAGAAAAAACAAAATACTGGGGTTTCTTATTCTATTTTCTATAGAGAAAATGGAGAGGAAAAAAACAATGATTACATGGTAGAGCAGAAATGTAAGTCCAAGTGGAATAATTACTAACACTATTCCCATACTAATTTCATTAAACAAAAGTGAAGGCATGTTTACAACTGTATCTGTTGTACCAAGACACAAACTGCCCTGCGCTAACCAAACCAAGCCTGACAATCACTGACAAACTGAGCACATATAACCACAAGCAGACACCAACTGAAATCAATGATCCCTAAACCACAAAATTGAACATACATAACAAAACAAGGAACTAAAAATTTATGTGAAACGAAGAGCACTCACATCAATGAAAGAATTAAATGCAGTGAGGCTACCATATAGTCAACCAAAAGCTGTGGATGCCCTGTGTATCCACACGGAACCTTCCTCCAATGTCTGGATGTAAAGTTGCAATCACAACCCCACTCTGAACAGTAGCAGTCCTGAAGATACAAAGCAAGTTTCCTAATTTGTCATGTTTATTGTGTCAAATCTGCATTGTATATACTCACTCTGCAAGAGAAATATCCACAATGCTTCAAACAAACTGAGCATGATATAAAAGGAGGTAAGTTGGAAGCAGGTCAGTAGGTTGGTATTGGTCCACTGATTGGTTTGTTGACACAGCTCTTACTTCTTACATGTTAAAAACTAACTCAGTGCCCCTTCTTTTCTCCTGGCTCTTTGGCAGGTGGCCCCTCTGTAAATGAAATGGATTTCTACCATACAATTCACTGAAGCACCCCTGGACAAGAAGTCTGACCAGGAAGACACTTCAGGAAATGACCCCATATGCTTAGTACTTTGCCACATGCTGAGACAAAAGGGTGGCAGCTTTATTTGCTGGAAAGGTCAGAGACCAACTCCCCAGAGTTCTTCCCTGGCTGCTCTGCCCAGATTTGGGGGGACAAATCCTCTGATTAACTCTGCCACTCCTGCTGCTCCTAGAAGTTCACCCAGAGTCCTTGCCTGGGTGGACAAAATGTCATAGGACTTTGTGACACATGGAGAGGACCTGGGCCAAAAAGAAGCAGCCCTCTGCAGGGATATTGACTTTGGGCTCTTTCTTTGAGTCTTGTGAAGCTACTACCTCCCTGACATTTTTCTCTGACCAAGGCAAGGGCTACAAGCCTCCATGGCTTTAAAACCAGCCTCTTTGGTCGCTCCCTTTTCTCTGGTGTGGTCTTTTTCCAGATTGTCCCATCCCTGGCTGCCCTGCCTAGTGCCTCAGAAAGCAACACATCCTATTCCAATATCCGCTGACCAAGAGAGCCAAGTGGACCCTCCCAAGCCCCGAAGCTGTGGCTGTGGCTGTGTGGCTATGGCACAGGAAGGGTAGGTGTGCCTTGTGTTCTCTGGGTAAGAGGGAGACAAGCTGTTCAAATGCAAGTACACAGAAGCCTAACCAGACCCTCAGGGCACATGGCCCTAATGATAACAAGGCAGGCATAGGAGCTTGCAAGGTTGTTCCCCAGGAAACAAAGGTGACCAGCACAGCCCATCAGCCCAGGGTCACACTAGATGGAATGACTCAGTGTCAGAGGTCTGGCAGAGTCTGCTCATATGGGTTTTATGCACCATCCATGGGAACAAGGCTTCTAAAACTGTCACATGAAAATGGATGAAAAAATGCAAAGTGGTTAATGTGACACTTTTTTTTTTGTAACTAAGCAATATACTCCTTGTTTCTCTCTCTTTCAAAACAAATCACTCAATCTTACTTTAAAAGCAACTAATTGCTAAGCAATCATGTTTCTGGGGAGGACGTTTTGAGTGAGAAACCTCCCTTAAGTTTTCCAAGATTTTTGGAGAAGTTATTAGCTTGGAAATTGAATTTGTTCCTCAACATCTCCTTTTACTGTCTGCTATACCCTCAAACATGTGTAACATCTGGGAGCATGTCTGAATCAGAAAAGTCAAACACCTTGTTACTCCCCAACTCTAAGAGGACTCTGCTTACTCCTGAGTTGCTCAAAACTGGAAAACAAGACCACTGTTCTCTGTTTAATGGGTAAATGTTTAGATCCCCATGAATGCACATCTATGGGAAATACATGGATAGCTCTTATCAATCTGCAATCAGGGGAGATTGTTCCAGGGTCCCTCCGCCACCCACCACCTTTTTGCCCCTTCTATCCCTGGCTCACCTGTCAATAGCAATGGCCAGCAGTGCATTGGTGGAGACGTAGAGAGAGACAGTACGCAGGTAATTGACAGCGGCACATAGGATGTGTCCATGCTCCCAGGAGAGCTGGCGCACGACGTAGTAGTCCATTTCAAAGGGGCAGCAGACAATTGCCACTAGGAAGTCAGAGATGGCCAGGTTGGCAATGAGCAGGTTAGTGAGGTTGCGTAGCTTCTTGTACCGAGCGAGGGCAATGATAAAAACAAAGTTGCCAATGCCACAGACCAGCATGATACCCACCAGGGCCATGCCAATGACAATCCTGGCAGCAAAGAAAGTGCGGGAATTGGTCACATCTTCATCTTCATCCAAGGTCATGTCATAGTCACCATAGCTGAAGTTGAATGGGACAGAAGCAGTTTGGGCTCCCTGAACGTCAAATGTGGAAAGGAAGGTAGTGGATGCGTTGGTGGCATTTTCATCCATAACCCCCATCACGATCTCCTGGCCATGAAACGCTGTGAGCAGCATTGCTCAGAATCCCCGCGGGTGCTCTCTGTAGGGCTGAAGGTTTCTCTGTCTCCCGACACTCAGCTCTCCCTCGGTGAGTCAGGGCAACTCTGCCAGTGCCCTTAGTGAACAGCAGCTGAGCTCTATCAGAAACCTTTGAAAGACACAACCAGTTGGCTACAAGCTGGAGTGAAACTGGCTCTGTAACTTAAGCAGCTCCATTAGTCACATACTCTGAGTGGCGTCTAGTGATGCTGTAGAACTAAAGAAATTAGTAGAGAAAATAAATGAATGACTACCATCTACTCGCTTGTTGGGAAACCCTGGATTGTTACCCAGGCAATCAGGACTGATGCAGAATCTGGGAGCTCCACTGAAGAAAACAGAACTGACCTTCTCCAATCTCCAGGTACCATCCTGCCATCCTGAGCCATGCCCTGTGGAAAGGCCCCATTCTGGTTACTTACAACATCCCAGGGCTTGAGGCAACCCTGTCTGCTCTCTTCTGGTGACACACAGCTGTAAATGTCCAGAGCCTATTCTGCAGCCACCTTCCCCCACCTTGCCAGGCTGACTCAATTGCACACCCCAAACTGTCATGACCTGAGCAGTCAGGCTCAGCCTTTCCCCAGATTTCTCCACAGCCAGTGACTGCAGTCGCAGCCATCACTGACTGCATGGATCACAAGGGGATCCTAGAGCCCCATCCTTCCTTGACTGGCATGGCTCCTGGGGTCGAAAGCTTTATCACTCGGGGCTTCCACACTTGCCAGGTGAAAGATCAACAGTCTGTAAAGCCTAGGACTCGCAAGAGATGCTGGACCCTATCCCTGCAAGGAATTACCACTGAGTATTCCTCACTCAGATTATAGGAAAGAGAGGCGAATGGAGGGGAGCGGAGGGGAATCCTGACACAGATCCTACCGTAGTACCTGTACGGGAAGCTGCAATGCTGGGGAGAGAAAGTGAGAGCTCTGACGTCCCTCCCAGGGCCTAAAGACATTAGATCAAGCACATCAAGCTAGCACAAGACAAGAGAACAGTAAATCTGTGCTTGCTAGCAAAGGGAGACACTGGGAAATCACCTCCTTCTACTCAGTCCCAGGATTTCCCAGGAAGCCTGTTGGTCACTCTCTTCAAAACAAGACTTAGGAGCTCATCTGTGAGGGGTCAGGATTTCAGTCCCTCTGCACACTGAGGCTCAATCCATAGCTGCCTTCCTCTTCCCATGCCTGAACCCTATTTCTGCCCCTTCCTCCGAGGTCAGGCTGCCAGGCTTAGCCACCCTGCCCTCGGAGTCTGTCAGATGCAAGAAGCAAAACTCAGAAGGGAGACGTCAGAGACGGCCTGACTAGGAGCCCAGGCAGGTGGGGGTTGCAACTGGGATGAGACAGACCCTGTGTCTTCGTGGCACACCGCTGCTGCAGGAGTCCCACAACAGGAGCCATGCCACCCCCAAAGGCTCCCAGGTGATAGTAACTCCCTGGGAAGGGGGGGACGTCGGAGGTTTAGGTTTGTAAAGCAATTGTCCAATAGTCTCTCTGCTTCGTTTTCATTTCCTGGGGAGGAACCCCACTCCCACCCACTGTGGACCTGCTAGAAGCCTCTGTGGCCAATGGTCAAAAGCCCTCTCCAAGCTCCCAACTTTCTCCCGGGAATCTGAGCGGCTGCGCCTACGGACAGGAGCCGCAGCCCGGCCCTCTTGAAGAACTGCACAAAGATCAACTGCCTTGAACCCCCATCTAAAGCCCACCCCCGCCGCGTGGTCCCTGGAGCGCGCCGCGAGGGGCGCGCCATACCTGAGCATCCCGCGCCCAACGCACAAGCTTCTGTGTCTTCACTCCAGGACCGCAGGGGAGGCGCTGCTCCCTGGGCTCGCAAGCCGTCTGCAGCTCCGCTCTGGTTTCGGTGCTTGGGTCGTTCTAGCAGATTCGCGGCCGGGCCACCCTCAGCTCTGGTCCGCCCCCCAATCTATCCCCGCCCCGCTGGTCCGCGCAGCGCCCGCAGCTCACAGGAGGCTGGCTCCAGGCCGATCTACAAGGTTCCGGGAGAGCGCCAGAGCCCGGCACTCGAAGCGGGAATTCGGTAGTTGGGGATCAAACAGCTGAGGTTGGGCGACAGGAGGGCGCCCCGGGGCCAGAGTGTCCCAGACGCGGAGGTGGCAGCTCCAGGCGTGTCCTCGCCTAAGGAAGCTGGCCACGCGGGCGGCGCGTTCCGATCCCAGGCTCTGTAGTGGCAGCCTGGGTGCTGTAAGCCCACCCGACGCTGGAGGTCTTTGTGCTATGCGGCTGAGCCCGCCCCAGAGTATCCGACGCCTCTGGCTGTACACCTAGCATTCTAGCGCCACTAAAGTGGGCGGACACGCCCACTTAGCCAGAAAGGTTCAAAGGACCAAGAGGGACCTCCTCTGCTGCCCACAACACCTGCCGGGAAAGGCAAACCTCATCCCCCACAAAGCGATCCCAGCTGAACACCGGGCGCATCTTCCGTAGTGGTTGTGGGACTTGCTTGGTGAGAAGCTCTAAGAGAAGTGCTCGCTGGAGAATAGTGAAGGTGACAAGTGCGCACTGGCAGAGAAAAGACCCCGATCTGGGTTGGGAGATTTACAGAGCACAGATCTGCTTCTGTAACCTGCAGACTCATCAGGAAGTTCAGCAAATGGTGTACAAACAATCCCAAGAACTGAAAGCCACTGTTTCAACAACTGTCACCCCCACAGGTTGTTGATCCATCAACCATTGATGGATAAACAAAATACATAAGGCATACACACACGACTGAGTGTTTTGGCAGCCTTGAAAAGGAATGAAATATCCCAAGTGTTGGTGAGGATATAGCGGAACCGGAGGCCTTGTATGTTGTTAGTGGAAGTGTAAAATGGTGCAGCCATTGTAAACAGCATATTTCTACAAAACAATTTAAAAGTAGAATTACCGCGTGATCCAGGGTTTTCACTTCTGGATATTCCCCCTAAGGAATTGGAAACAGAGGCTGGAGATCTGTGCATTCACAACATAGCAGCTTTATTCACAATAACTAAAACATGGGAACAACCCAGCTCTTCCCTTGACAGCTATATAGATCAATAAAAGAAGACGAAAATGAGGACTCTTCAAAAAAATCATGGCTTTTTCATAATATCCATTTCCTCAAACTTTCTGGAGATCTCTTTTTTTGCATGGATTTTAAAAATAAACTTACCTTTGAATTCCATTTTCTACTAACAATTTTTATTTTTAAAGTTCAGAATTAGCGAGATAAACAAAAATTGTATGTTCTTTCCATTGTTTCATTCCCCAAATGACAGCAATGACCAGTACCGGGCCAGGCTGAGGCTGGGAACCAAAACTCCAACACAGATCTTGCACGTGGGTGGCAGAGCCCCAGTTACTTGGGTCATCGCTGCTGCCTGCCTGGGTGCACACTGGCAGGAAGCTGGAACCAGGGGCCAGAGCTGGGGCTCAAACTCTGTCTCTTCAGTATGTTAAACAGGACTCGAAATTGCCAGGCTGAGAACATGCCCCTGCACTCTTACAATACTCTTACAAATGTATGTGATTTAAAAAGAAGGAAATTCTGGCATATGTAATGACATGAGCATACTCTCTCAATGACTTAATGTTGAGTAAAATAAGCCAATCACAAAAAGACATGTGCTATGTGATTCCACTTGCATGAGATAGCAAAAGTAATCAAATTCACAGAGATGGAAAGTGGATTTGTCTTTTCCAGGGCCTATCAGAAGGGAATTTTAAGAGTTAATGTTCAGTGCTTGCTACAGCAGCACATATCTAAAACTGGAAAGATACAGAGAAAATTAGCATGGCCCCTGTGCAAAGATGACATGCAAATTTGTGAAGCATTCGTTTTTGGTTTTTTTTTTTTTTTATTTCTTCAGCGACATATTGGTCACTCAATAGCATGTTATTTAACTTCAGGTAATTTTCTGTTTTTTTCTGTTTTTTCTTCCTGTTGTTGATTTTATTTTATGGCTTTTCACTTAAGAGGTTGTACAGTAACTGTGTAATAGAGACTATCATATTCAGATGTGAAGATACAATGCAGTATTCATCTCTACTTCCACATCAAAAATGGAATCCCAATGAAACTGTAAAATATATCTTGATAATAGGATGCCAGACTCTCTGCGATTGTCCATACCTACAATGTCAGGATACACTTAAATCACAGAATGATGGACTATACTATTGTAATAATATAGGGGAAGTCAGTGTGGGAGTGAGGGTTTGGGGAGGGGGAAGAGAAATCTCAGAGCCTATGGAACTATATCAGAAAAAAATAAAATTAATTTAAAATTTTAAAGAATTAATGTTGAAAGGCTAGAGTTTCAGATATGCAAAATGCAGAGAATTTTGGAGGCAGATGCTGATGATGGCTATGCATGAACATAATTAATGTCACCAAGTTATATACTTTGCAGTGTGTATATGCGTGTTTTATCACAATAAAAATGGAAAAGTAAAAAAGGAATAGAGCTGGAATATGCTAAACAAGGGGAAATCTTAACAACACACGAACAGGCCAGTCACAAAGAGACAGTATGATTCCACATATACCAAGTTCCTAAAGAAGGCAGATTCCTTAGAACCAAAATACTTACGTCATTATCTTCTGCCTCCCAAAATACACACTACAGGATACTGGGATCAAAAGCAGAGCCAGGACACAGGCCCTGTTGTAAAAGGAGAATATGGCAGCACATTTGGTGCTGTAGCAGGAGAACAGAACAAACTGGACAACTACCCCCAAACAAACGATGTTTATAAAATATCTCTGTGAATGGAGTTAATGGATATTGGGAGAGTGACATCATCCTTGGATCGGTGAAATTGGCAGCATTTCAGAACTATCCAAACCACTTGGATAGGACCCTCAGAATGTATACACATGGAGACTCTGAGTTGATATGAGTACCTCATCCTTGGGTACTGTGATATGTGGAAAGTCATGAGTGGTTTCCCCCTTTGT